TGAGGTAGGCTCATGGGTTTTATTATATTCTCTAGAAGAGACAACGAATTTGACATGTGATTTTGGGGTATGTTTTTATTTACATCCAATCAGCATGTGACTTTTTGCAGATCATTGAATATTTTGGGGACTAATTTAAGGTCCAATTTCATAAATCGGCTGATATGCTTAATTTTAAACTAGAAATGCAGATATAATGTCATAACTTATAGTTACAATTAGTTATAGTATACCTGCATCTCTGTTTCAAACCACTTAGTAAATAAATGACAGGTTAGTATTAAAATATAAGAAAAACAAAACGATCTGAAAGCATAAAAACAATTGTCTAAGCGCTTATACAAGTGTAAAATGTAATATACAATTTCTTTAATAATAACCTAATTACCTCTATTTGCATTATCTTTCTCTAATAATGACCTAATTACCTGTTTTTGCATTACCTTTTTTTTTGCTTTTCATTATCATCAACTTCGCACTATATAAAAAAGTAAAAAATGACATAAAAACAAGTATAATTAATTGTGTCAAGTGCTTATACAAATAGAACTCTAAGTATTACAATTCTTTTGATAATGTTCTAAATTACTATACTTTTTGCATCGCCTTTTTGGCTTATCACTATTTTGATTTTCATGCAATGCTTTAAGATGCTTCATTTTAAGTGGTCTTCCTCTATTACGTCTTTTTTTAGGATTCTGTAAACTATTACCAGAATTTTCTTTATCACTTGAGGAATCATCTTTATCAAATTTTTCAGAAGTTTCATCATTTTTAGCGAATTCTTGTAAAATCTTGATAAGATGTTGTGACTTCGATTTTGCTTTCAATGCCTTTTGTAAAGCCACTTTATATGCTCTATAAAGGTGATCATACATTAATCTTTGGTCCAGAATATTCATTTGTTGTTCGACAGGATTACTTGTATCATGAATAGCACATAAATAATTGAGCGGCTTATTTTCTTGTAATAAGTTGGTTGAATCTTCATGAAATTTATTAGCCACAATAAATGGTATATTTGACACATCTTTATCTTCTTGATATCAACGAGATAAAATGAGCCTTATATGAAACCTAGCCTTATTTGTATTCAACATAACTTGGAAATAATGTTGACAGACAATCCCCTGCCGAATAATCATAAGATATAAACACAAATGGGTATCATTTTTTAAAAGAATTATATAATGCTTAAGAGTCGATGAATTTCCAATTTTAATACTCCAAATTTCATTAATATTATCAAAGCCAACAACATCCAATAATTGATATATAGTAGCTTGCGGATTATCAACATTCTTATTTTTATCATTTGAAAAAGTAGCATTATGATTATTTGAATATAATGCATCTTGCTTATTAACAAAATATGCAATGTAATAAAGAGATTGATTGATTTCATCATGTTGCATATTTAGAATTACCGGTATTAAAAAACTTTGACAACATTTGTCCACTTCTGTAAATAAGAAATTCGTATGTTCAAGATTTCTAAGTGAAGGAATTGCGAGTTTCCAGTATTGATACTGATTTTGTTTGTCTTGTAGATCAAGTAATCTGTGTATTTCAAACATAAGATCACATAGAGAAATATTGGAATTGTAAAGTAATCTTTTAAGGCAGGCATTCATAGCCTCAACCCGAAATGTGGAAATCATTCCCGCTGTGAATTTGAAAGATGTATAAGAGTGTGCCCAGTATTCTTTGAATTTATAAAGAACTTCTAAATAGCTTTTAGCTTTAGGATAATCTTCTGAAAATTTAATAAAACATTTGTGAAATGTTTTCCGAATGAGACTATTTCTACAATGGTAAAAATCGACAAGAAATTTATCATATTGATCCCCAAGTTGTTTACAAAGATTTTTGTGAATATTTTGGGTAATATGGAATGCACAATGTATTGGGTATGTGGTTTGAAAAACCTCCTTTACTGCAGCATCAACTGCTGGATCAGAATCAGTTAGAATTATAGTTGGTTGTACATTAGTAGCTATTACAATTTGTCTAAACATCCAAGTATGAGAATCCAAACTCTTATCTGCAAGTAAGCCCTGTGCTAGTAAAATATTCTGTCTATTTCGATCAAATCCAACAAAAAGTGACAAAGCCATCCCATACCGATTTGTTTTATATATAACATTATTAATCACACAGTCACTAAATTTGATCCAATTCTCTACTTGTTCTGGCATCATCCACAATAAATATATAAGTGCATTGTCATCATCCTATCCCCTCGCTATGACCTATCTAGTATCCTTTTCTTTTTGTGTATCTAACCAGTTTGACATTTGCACAGCATTATTGGAAAGTGATTTTGCTGTAGGATGATACATTTGTATTGCTCTATACAAGTCTTTGCTGAATATTGATTTAAGTGGATATTTGTCTTCTAGATATTTCCTTTAAGCTGTTGCTCCCATTTTACAATGCTGTGTCAAGAACTTGATGTTTTCTAACATTTCTTTGCTAAATCTTTTCTCACATTCAAATACAATAGCATCAACACTAAGTTCGTGATTATGCTTATCCACTATGGTATTAATAAAAATGGTTAAGTTTGGGTTCTTTACTTTAGAACAAGAGGCATTTACATGCCACTGGCATAAAATTTTCTTGGTACTGGTTTCTTTCTTAGAGGTTGATTTATAATTCTGCCTATGTTGACAAATGTAAGTTCTTCTTCTGACTATTTCATCTTCTCTATAAACACGATCTTTAACAACATTAAACCCTCTACTTTTTCCCTATGCACGTATAAATGCATCACATTTAACCCAATTTTAAAAAACTTTTTTAGTAAATAACCTTGCAGTGTCTCTTTCAGTGTCTTTTTCAACATCTATTTAAATATCACCTTTAGCATCATCTTCAACATCTCTAACAGCATCACTTTCAATCTCTTTTGCAGCAATTCTTTCAATGTCACTTTCAGCATCTCTTTTATCAACACTTTCAATGTCGCTTTTAACTTCAAACAGTTCGGTATGTTCTAATTCATAACTTGGTAAGTTATCTTGGTCAACCATTATGCGAATTGACCATTTTAATAGTTTAAAAGGTTAGTAATGATGAGTAATAATTAGTAACAATAAGAAATGAGTACAGTAATAGTAGTTATGCTGAGTAATAGTTAATAATGATAGATAGAGAAATCATCATAATACGTGTTATACAGATATTAATTATATGAATGTTATATATTTCATATTACATTACTTATATTTTTGTTACACAGGCGTTGGATTGCATATGCGAAAAATTAATAAATCCTATATTAAATATATTTATATATTAAATATATTAAGAATTCAAATACAATATTTATGTTCTAATAATTAAAATATATTATTTAGTTTGAAATATTGCAATATATTTTAAACTATTTCAAATTAATTAAAATTTTTATGAATAGATTATTAAATACTAAACTTTATACTTTAAATTAATTTTAGGAATTTAAATATAGAATACATTATTTAGATTTGGAATTATTTAAAGACGATTGCTATTTGTACACCATGTGTATGTACACACATATATTGATATTTCAAAATCCTAATTATATAATAGCTTTTGGGGTTCTAACAAAAAATATTCCTTACAAAATTTTAGTATAAACTATAACCTCATCTAACCCTAAAGCTACCCTCACCCTAACCTTAAGCTATACTAATTTTTCGTTTATAATTTATATGTTAAACAAATTCGTAAATCAAAAATTAGTATGTGTGTATATACACCTGGTGTAAATTAAGAAATTTTCTTTAAAATAATATATTATAAAAATTATTATAAGATTAGGGAACTGATACTTATTAGCTGAATATATCTCCCTCCTCTGTAATACCATACTAGGGTCTTTTTTTTGCACCTTATTTTTAAAGTTGCTAGGTAATTAGTCTTTTACATATTTATAATGGCTACATGTGGCACAGCATATAATAGTTAATGGTAAACATGCATATAACAGTTAACAGTTTTTTGAAACATTTGATAAGAGCTTCTTAAAACATGTCAAAATGGCTCTATATGATGAAGTTGATAGTTTATTAAAAAATTACTAAAAATTAATTACTTGAAACATGCATATAATAGTTAATGGTTTTCTAAAACATTTGATAGAAATTAGCTTTTTTTGTCATAACAGTTAATAGTTAATGGCTCACTAAAAAATTAGGCCCATGTGGCGCAGCACATAACAGTTAATATCTCACTAAAAAATTAATAAGTTAATAGGTTGGAACATTTTATAATGATTCTATGCATTACATAACAGTTTTTATTTTCCTAAAGACATATTATAACTGTCTCTAAATTAATGTGCCTTATTTTGAGCAAGTATACGATTTTTTCAAAATCTTGTAATACATGTGTATTAATAACTAAATTAGCAACAGAATTTTAACTCAACTTCTTTTAGAAAACACATTTTGGGGTGTTTCAATAAAAAACAACTACATATAGATATTATGCTTATCTACTACTAGTAACAGTGCAGAATTTGAGTATTGAATGAGCAACCTATGCATGCTGCTAATGTTTGCCATAAGTGTTATTCCAACAGACAGCTACTTGATGAGTGGGGTAAAAAATATCTAGAAAAACCCTGCAGAAGCCAAGAACTTGGCCAGTACTATGTACTCAAATACAAGAAATTCCTTTGTAACTATAGGCAACCAACTCAAGAATTTCAAAAATTCAAATTATGCCCTCTATCTGGCAGGCTCTCAAACAAATAAGTAAGTCCCGACAGGTCATCAAATAATAGCTTCTAAGCAGACTATTAAATCAATTGTTTGAGTGAAGAAAACCAGGTTAGCAGAAAAAACATAAATTACTTTATCTGGAAAAAAACTGTTCACCTTAAATACTACTAATGATTACTAATCGCAAATATGTTACATTATACAAATTATATGATACAATACAATGCCAATTGATTAATATATGCCTGAGATTAATTCAAGACAAAATAGGTACTTTCATATCGGGCAGCTAATTAAGTTATGCAAAAGGTGAGTGCATGTTATTTTAATTTTTTGAAAAGACAAATTTTAAATTAACACCCAGCCTGTTATTCCATGCAAATATGGTACTTAGAAAGACAGTATAAGAATAGGAGTAAAATGAGAATATTGATAGTTATATTGAAGAATTTTAGCTTAAAGCCGGATCTTATAAAATGTAATCAAATAGATTGCCCTTATAAAAATTAAATTGGGTACAATTCACAGATTCATAATTCAAGAAACTGAAAAAGACCCAGGCCCAGATATTATTATATATATATATATTTGTTTAAAATCCTTATTGTAACTTGTAACGTATTTCTCTATTATAGTACACTCATTAATACCCAGACAGGTTCTTTTCGAGGTAGTTTATTAATAGTAAAACTTTACTAGTTCCAAAAAAAAAATAATTAATAAAAGATATTGCAACTAATGCTGAAAATGGCTGATGCTAAAATTTTGGGGTCTCTATTTAGAATAATAAGATCTACTAAAACCCATCTATATACTTTAATTAATAAACCCTGATTCTAAACTCTACTCAAACTATTATATAAAGACAAAAAATGCACCCTTAAAAATTATCAAAATTTCAGCATTAGCTGTTTTCAGCATTAGCTGCAACAATAAATAAATAAATAAATAAAATCACTTAAGCAAATTTGTATAGTAGTATGGAATAATTTGATCTGAAGCTGCAATTATCATATTTGACCATGCAGCTTAAATATTTCAAAATATACAACTAAAAAAGAAACAAGAAATATTAAAAACATCTTTGTACTACAGAAATTAAATTAGAATATAAACATTTATATAAGTTCACTGATTCATGTGACTAGTTCTATTCGAACCAAATTAATTCCATCGAGAAAACCTTGAAAGATTAGATATCAGTTTAGTGACAGTAGTTTTAGCTTGTCATTATATCACATAATAGCCTCAACTCTCCAAAGTTGATAATATTTGTGGTATTGACATTGTTGATATTGTTAATGTTGAAGTATAAATTCAACATAGGCGATACCAATTATACTTAACTTCATTAGTAATGCAAACCTCTAAAAGGAAATTAAATAATGAGGAGTACATAAAAGGAAATTAAATGATAAGAGGTATGTAAAAGAAAATTAAATAATAGGGAGGTTAGTATAGGATTATAGTATGTATGTATATACTAGTAAAGAACTTTGGCTATTTCTTTTTTGGGTAAAGCCTAGTAGTACTCTTGCTATACAAAATATATGGTATATCTGTTTTTAACTATTTTAAGAAATTATTAATTTTTGATGCATCAAATAGTAAATCGACAACACTTTTCTCTATATTAAATTATTTAAGAATTAAAATCATATTATAAAATTTAAAAAATATACTTAAAATGAGATTTCTCCAAACACATGAAATATAAAATTAGCTGATACTTTCTAATCTATTAAAATAGTTGTATAGTGCTTAAGAATTCCTTACCCATAACTATTAGTAACATTTAAAAGTTAAATATATTGTGCTCAAAACCTAGACATAAACCGGATAATGATATAATTATCTCATAAATCTCTTCATAATTGTACAATAATTATTAAACTTCTCCACAAGTAAAGATATCAACAATATCACTTTATCAACTATAACAACTATAAATAAACTAAAATTTCAACTACAAGCTTTTTTTTTTTTTTTTCCAACTTCAATGATTTTGTTATTAACTTTATTACTTATTTAAGCGAACACATATATTTACATATACTTTTAACCTATCTAAGTAGTTGTTATGACCTCACCCGGCTACCCTATATGGCACCCAGATGCAACCTTCTGCACCATCCTACATGTGAGATGGACATCCTCGGGTACCTCTATCAAGCAGCACCCTAAGTTCTGATCTAACTCAGAACTTTAATATTTTTACTAATTCATATATACCCCACTATATATACTACTGTACAACGTCTACTAGTTATAATCCACCCCACAACACTTATCACATTACTCCTAATTTGTTTCTTATATAACTTCCAAATTGGTGTTCTAGGAGTGGGCTTCCAGTTTGGTGTTCCTCGAAATATTACTTCAGTTCCTAATCCATATCTCAAGCCAGGTGCTGCCACCATCCAAAGACCCGTATCTCAAGCCACCTGCTGCTGCCATTAGGAGAGCTGTTTGCATGGTTCCAGGTATTCATGTCATACACTACCAAATTAGGCTACCACTCTCTTTATAGTACTCCCTATCAGTATAGTGTTACAGAAGTCTAGATCCTTAGGAAGGGAGTTAAGTACCTCATTTAATTACTGTTACAAGCCAGTAACCTGGGACCCACACTTCTGTCATGTTTCGTCATGCTTTCACGACTCCCATATAGGTTGTGCGACACATTACTCACTGACTGACTTTATTTTCGTACTACTGGAGTGCTTGCTTCCATGCTTCAGAATTTCTTTTAACTGGTTTTTCTTGTTTCCTTGTGCCAGAGGTGTTCCATATTTGGTAAAGCCATTCTCTTACCACAGCCCCTTACTATGTTAAATGCTTCTCTCACCACTTCTGGATATATTGCATACAGCTGTCCTCCCAATCAAGATCCCAATGCCGCTTTAGAGTTGTTGGTGCTACCTTGCCAATCGTGGATTCACACACACAGCCTTCTGCAGTATTACCTTCTGTGACCCATATCACACGTAGTGCCCGATCTTCTCTATGGCTCAGGACTCCTTCCAAGAATTCTTTATCGGCCAAATATGTACTTTATATGGTCTTACCACCACAGGGTTCCGCATTCAAAAGCCCCAAAAGTTACAGAGATAATTAATTAAATTAATTACTACTAGCTGTAATTGAACCGTCGATCTTGTTTGTAGAGGGTTAGGCACCTAGACCACTAGGCTACAGGACCCTAACCCTAACTACACTTCCTAGATCCACAAAAGATATAGCTAATTCGGTTATATTCTCTTATTTAGTCATACTCCAATAATATATCTAAAATTTTTTCTTATTTTTCTTTTTTTTTT